TGTGTGTGTGTTCACTGCTGTGTGTGTGCACTTTGGATGGGTTAAATGCAGAGCACTAATTCCAAGTATGGGGCATGTAGATTGGCATGTAGATTGTCCTGTATGAGTTGGCTTATCTCAGCATGCCAGCGCTCTACCGCTGTAACATTTCACTGAAGATTTTATCACTGTCAGTCTGAGCCCGCTGTGCATTTCCCTGCAGAGAAGGTGCAACAATCAGCAATATTGTAGCATACATCCACACTGCCAGGGGGCAGCACAGAACACTTCATCAAAGTCAGGTGACTTTCAGAGAATGCGATAACTGGGTCATATTTAAGTTATGTTATTAAACAACACATTACCTAACTAAGACTCTATACTGTTTCTATCTTTGACAAATTTGAGATGTTGTCACTGAACATTTAATAGTATGTTAGCTGTTTGGTTACTTGTATTTGTATGACCAGCAGTAGACAGCATAGAGACAATGGTAGGCTAGTTTATGTAATAACACATAATCTGCCAGAGATACATAAAAATTAAGATTCAATGTACTACCATGTTTCAAACTGACAACAATTCTATTGTTTTTTCTATCTTTTTCCCCTTATTTTTTTCCCATTTCATGTATAAATTAATAAATTAGCAATAATAATATATCTCATATCTCAAAAGTATCTCATTGAACTGTTGGATCTAGATTAGGGTTTGAGTTGTGGTTATGTCTGAAAAGTAAGAAGTACAGAACTATAATTACACTTAAATTACATAAAAAAGGGGGAAATGTTTTGCCACAAAGCTTCATTAGGACTCTCCTGATTGGACCAACCTTGAGAACATCTACATTGTGTCTGAGTTCTTGAAGTTCTTTCATCCGATCCTGGATAATGTGCTGAACCTCTGTCTGAGTCGCCACCAAGACTTTCTATAATCACACACAAACATATAATACATGCAAAAAAGAAATGAATACTTTCATTTACTTACTCAGAAATTTTTTTTTTTTTTTTTAAGAAATAATACTTTTATTTAATTTTAATTATATTTTAAAATATATTCACAATATTAATGTTTTTACTGTATTTTTGATTGAATAAATATGGATTTGGTGAGCATAAGAAACTTCTTTCAATAACATAAAAAAACATATAAACTTCTGAACAGTATTATAAATGTATCCTAAATGATTCTGATAATATAATCTTTTGTTTAAGCGTCCAAACCTGTGACAGTCAGAGTTTAAGGCACAAGGCATAGAATAGGACTAGTTTCAGCTGACTCTTTACTCTAGAATGTTTGTCAGGAAAGGTACATTTTTCAAAGTCCAAGCAGATCGTTGAAGATTTATCTTTAAAAAGCTATTGAACATTTCTACTCTTATTTCCAGGAAACAATTAATTACTTTCCTTATGAAACACAAAATGTAAACATTATTTTGTGCCAGTTTGAGCAAGCTTTGGTAACTACAATACTAAACCACTGTTTTAGCCAATGATCACTGCAATTTAAATAAATGTATAACTTCATAACATGCAAACAGGTTGTGACAACTTTCTCTGACTTGACGTTTATGAAAAAATATCATTATATGTTATTATTCTAATATATTATTATTCTAATTCAAGAAGTTATTGAACTAGATGTTTGAAATCACCATACAAAACCACTAAACAAAACACATTTTGATACTTGGACTTATATGTTCTCAGATATGACCCCTGTGATAGTTTGCCCCAGTCTATTCACAACAATTATAATCTTATGTCTCACCTGTTTCTCTGTGCGTTCATCATCTGCGCTGACTATGTTGTGGCTGCGATGTTCTCTTACTGTACACAGCACACAGATGCACATCTGGTCTGAGTGGCAGAAAAGCTCTAAGCCTTTTTCATGCTGTGGGCAGATCTTCCGGTCCAGGTGTCCCGTCTCATCCACCAGTTTGTGCCGTTTAAATGCGGCTGATTCGTAATGAGGTTTGATGTGTGTCTCACAGTAATAAGCCAGGCACATCAGACATGACTTCACTGCTTTGTTCCGCCGACCAGTACAGAAATCACACAGAGCATCACACTTGAAGTATGGAAATGGGGTGAGCTCGCGCCGGGGTGGTCGAGGCTCCGGGTTGCCTACGTGGGGCACATTACGTCTGAGTATGGGTCGAGGAGTGAAGGTCGCCTGACACTGTGAACAACTGTACACACCGAGGTGGTCAGAATGGTCCCAGTAGATCTTAATGCACTCCAGGCAGAAGGTGTCTCCACACGGGATGGTGACGGGGTCTCGCTGGGTGTCTGTGCAGAGAGGGCAGGTGTAGTCGAGGTAGTCAGATTCTGCCATTCTAAAACAAACGTGTGAGAAAGAAAGGTGAATTGAAAGAGCAACTGAAGCAGGAACACACCCGTATTTATAGATTAGAAAGAAGGGTGGAGGAAGGGACCTTGTGGTGCTGAACTGAGATGAGCATGTCTACAAACACAGTAGTTTACATAGATGAGGCACATGTAACTGGCTTTTCTATTCTAGAAAAATCATTCAGAACACAATTTCAGCATTATAGCAAATGTTGAAGCAGGGATAGTTCACCCAAAAAATAACATTTCTTTAAGGTTCTAACAATTCGATTAAACTCAGATAGCCAAAGCACTCTCTCTCTTTCTGCATATACAGTGGGTACGGAAAGTATTCAGACCCCCTTCAATTTTTCACTCTTTGTTATATTGCAGCCAAGGGAAATTTGAAGCTGTTTTGTCTGTAAATATGGAAACTGGTTAGAATAAATTTGTCTAGTCAGTGCTTGCATTCTGTGAGTAAACTACAGTGAAATGACAGCTCAGTGTGTAAACACTAGAATTATGCAGGTAGATCATAAACACAATTAAATGCTGGATCTGAAGAATGCCAAGGTCAAACTGATCGGTGTCACGAAGGGAAACTCAGTACAGCATGCTTTAGATCGGTATGTTTATTTCTGTCATTACCTGACCGTAATTTTCCTGGAACCTGATGGATCTGTCTTCTACACAGATGGTACTATGATTATTTTATTTTGGATAGTTGTGCCCACTGTTTTTGTGTCATTTCAGTTTTTTATTTATTTATTTTTAATTTTACATTATTTTATTTTTGTTTATTTTGAGAAATGTTTTTACATTCGTATCCATCTTAGTTTTAGTATCCACCTTATTTTCAACATGGAATCTATTTCCTGTGAATGTATGATTCATTATCTGCTAAAGGTAAATAACTAGCAGAATAACAAAGTGTGGTAAGTGGTGAAACTATTTGCACTACAAACCAGTGTGTTTATGATTATGATAAAAATGGTACAGTACGTTAAACTAAGCTGGATATAATAATAATATTGCTTCCCTGTGCATTCACAATGGTGTCCTTGCAGGCCCAGGGAGGGAACGGTAAAGGATGCTGAGCCGCCATCTGGGTGAGCTGCCAGACCTGCACTTCAGAGAAAAGATACTCATTCTTTGCACACATTAATACACCCTTAATAGCAACTGAGCATTGTATATATGCCACAGTCTTGTTGCTGACCATGTGCATACTTTTATGATGATATTCCATTCATCATCTTGAATATGCAGCAGCTACATACCTAATTCTCTTGTGTTCATATGGACCATAAACTTGGAAAAATGTTTCCAGTAGGCTACCTTGTTGAATCCATGTCACAAAGAAATCAGGCTGTTCTGTGGGCAACATGGGTCCAACACAGTTTTAGGAATGAGACCTAATAAAGTTAAAATTGCATGTGTATACGTCATTTGTTAGTAAATGGATACATTTACTTTCAATACTGCATGAAAAGTAAAATTTCTGTGTATTCTTGTCTTAATAATCAAATTCCCAAACTTCTCCCACTGTTCTCAAAACATATACACACAAATTTCTCTTGACATTTTTAGATTTAGTACTTTTTCCATTTGTCTCGTGTGAGGCTCGTGTGTTTGTGTGCAGACAATTATAAAGCTTTTTTGCAGCTTGTAATCTATATCTTCAACAAGTAATAACTTATGAATGGATGTATTTAATGATTGTGACCTTCAGGATTCATCTATCTTTAGGTTGTCAATTTTTATAGCATACTGTAGAGGGAGCTCTTGTAGTTCATATAAAGCAAAGCTCTGTTTGCTAATCAAATTCTTATTATTGAGTCTATTTCCAGCACTGGTTTTAAATTGTTGCACTGCTGGATAAATATATGTATTATAAATAAATAAATTATCCATGTACACTAAGGTTAGAAGTTTGACTGAGGAAATCCTTGAAATGCTTATTCTTGCCATTAATAGACTTTTGTATCACCAGGACTTAGTTTGGACATATACAGATTTATATGTTCATATGTGAAGTTATGGTAGATAATATGTTGGCCTAATCTGGTTATTGCAATCATTGTTAATGCCATTACTGTACATTACATTTCCAACTGGAATATGATGAAATTCCAATTATTCTTGTCCATGTACACTCTTAAAAATAAGGTTCCAAACGTTTTTTGAACCATTGCGATGGAACCACTTGAGTTCCCCAAGAAACCTTTCCGTGAACAAGTTCTTAAAATAACCATGTTTTATAGTGTGAAGAATATTTTAATAATCTGAATAAACCTTCTATAAAGTGTATAAATATAAACATTTTTGTGTAATGGAAAGGTTCCATGAATGTTAAACTTTACTTATTTATTAACCTTTATTTAAGGGTGTAAACAGTCATTGTTCCTTTAGTTGTGCTGTCAGCAATGGTGATGGTGAGTAGGTCTTAATCAATATGTGGTTGTGTTGTAAGTGATGCATTGCTCAGAGACATTAGACAGAGGTGCCCTGAAGCCATTAGAGCAAAAACATTTAGAGCATCACAGAACAACAACGTGTGCGCATGTGTGTGGCTTCACTATGTAACATCTGAATGCTGCTCCACATAGACTGATGGGAAAGGGTGTGGCAGCAGAGAGAGACAAAAACAAAGACAGGAGGAGGAGGAGGAGGAGAGAGAGGGTTGAAAGTGAAGGACTACTGTAGTCAGCAAAGCAGAAAAGAGGACAAATAAGGGCCAAAGAGGCAGAGAAAATCAAAAAGCGGCAAGACAAGAGGGCATGTGGCAGAAAGAGAGAGAAGAGCGAGTGATGTCATCATTTGTGCTGGGCTGTGCTCTCTCTTCCCCTCTGTCTCGCGTCATTGTACACACATACACTTACCAGTTGCAGAGAGGAAGACAGAGAAACACACACCCACATTCAGCATCCTTTCAATAGCAGCTTAGCATCAGTATCCAGGACTGTCCACCTCACTGTCAGGTAGGCTGGATCTCACTCTTAATAACACACACCCATCCAGAAGTATCTGTTATACCTACAAGGCCAAACAGGGCTTTAAGCATGAGATATGGTTAGCATGTTTTTATAGTACCATTTTCAGATATAGTGCTCTGCACATTTTGTATGTCTCCCTTATTTAACACACCTGATTCAGATCATCAGCTCGTTAGGCGAGAGCTCTGTGAACTGAACTGAATGTGCCAGATAAGGGAGACATGCAAAATGTGCAGAGCGAGGGGGTCCCGCAGGACCAGGATTAAGATATGATATAGTGTACATGTATTATTTGAATATGTACAATAAGTGCATACGGAATAAAGGAATGTAAGCCATATTACTTGCTTACCAGAGCCCTTTCATTTCTAATAATACAAGAGTTTTGCAATTTCGATTTAATCTATTTATATTTTATATGGATTTATGGATAAAAGACCCAACATTAGAGCGAGAGAGAGAGAGAGCGATTGAGAGAGAGAGAGCACGCAGCTGAAGCTAATTTAGTAAAGTGGACTTCATTAAATTAAGGCTTTTAGTGTGAGTAATGTACATTTTGTGTGTGGTAAATGAGCATGATATTTGTGAGCATGGAAGATGATGTAACAGTGTGGGACAGTAACTCAGTGTTACCAGCACAAGAACATTACAGCAGCCTGCACTGTACATAACCAGCAGTACATGACAATATTAATAAAGCAGTACAGCATTGAGTAAAAGAGTATCTATATATTTAAAACAAACAATTAACTATATATTTAAAAAAAAACAATACACAAAGTACACATATTTTCATTCAAATGCTAAGCAAGTTCATTATGTGGCATCTTTCAGTAGAAGATCTGGAATGTAACAAAAATCAGGATCTGTTATGGCTGCACATGAACAGGTGCACATAGATGATGTTACCATGTCAAAGATTTACAGCTGGAACTATTACAATAATTAAAAAAAAATAATAATAATAAAGCTTAAATTAAATAAAATAAATATTAGATGAAAAACTTGAAAAAAAATGTTGGCTTGGCAACTAACTGATGTAAAATAAGTTGAAGTACTAAAACTAAAACTGAAATAAAAATAAAGCTAAACAGAAATATTAAAAACTAAAAATGACAAAAGCAAAAAACTAAATAAAAAAATAAACAAAAAAAAGACTAAATAAATGCTAATTCAAAATATTAATAAACACTATAATAGTATACAAATAATAGGCTACTAAAATAACTGGATCAATAAGAAGCCAGGGTTGGAAGGATCAGTTATCTAATATTGCAATAAAACATCATAAAATTGCATTAAAATAAAATAAAATTAAAATATCTGTCTTCCCTTTTCTGTCTTTCTTTAAAATTCTTTCTTTCTCTAATGCTAGATCTGACAGGATGGCTGAAGGTTCAGGTGAGGTATCACTGGCAGATGTTGAGACGGCATTTCGTAAATTTGCAGTGCATGGAGACACCAAAGCAACAGGGAAGGAGATGAACGGGAAAAACTTTGTTAAGCTGTGCAAGGACTGCAAGGTCATCGATGGCAAAAGTGTCACCAGCACAGATGTGGACATCATCTTCAGCAAAGTCAAGTATGATTATTCTCACAGTGAACAGTTTTTCTTTGAATGCTGTGCAGCACAATAGACATTACTGGGCCTAAGATTGTGCTGTTTTGTATCTGCTTATGTGTTTTAGGGTTAAATCAGCACGCGCCATCACATTTGAGCAGTTCACTCAAGCCATGGCGGAGTTGGCTACAAAACGTTTTAAAGGGAAGAGCCAGGACGAGGCAGTACAGCTTCTCTACAGTCTTATTGCCGGCAAAGAACCCGCCAATGTTGGTGTCACTGTGAGTACTAGCCAATCAAAACAGTCTGTCTTCATAGATTAAGCAATAAACATATACATTAACCATGGATAATCTCTTTCTCTCACAGAAAGTAGCAAAAGCCTCCGCTGTAGACAGGTTAACAGACACCAACAAGTACACTGGTTCTCATAAGGAGCGCTTTGATGTGTCAGGAAAGGGAAAAGGCCGTGTGGGGAGGGAAGACATCCCTGATACCAGCGGATATGTTTCGGCATTCAAAGGCCAAGGCTCCTACGACAGCAAAGTAAAAGAGGATAAATGAGAGGAAGGGATAAAAGGAAAAGAATGCTTTATGCATGACATAATGAGTGCATGTCTGAAGTCTTCCTGGTTTTATTTCAGCAGCTGGGCTGTGGCTTGCCTGCAAAAACAAACCCCTGGCTAAATGTGTCTTTATCATTTTTTTAACTTGCGAGTAATTCACAGTTAATGATCTATAAATCATAAACGCCCTTTGGTGATGCTCGTGTTTGTTGTTTTTACACAGGTTCATACCACCAAGCAGCAACCTGTCTGTCTGTCTGTCTATACCTGCTAGCTAGCTGAAAAATATCGACTTGAATCCCAGGGAAAACACATGCTGATAAGATACATACCTTGAATGCAAGCCATTTTAAACAAAAGCAGTGGCCAAATACATAAATTAGTGAGACATTCGACACGCAAAACAATACACCTTTAAAAAAACAAGTGACAGATGTGTTGACAGATGTGGGGTCATACACTGGTGTGTCATCATGTTACTGATTTTTCATGTGGTAACAAGCTGATTTTTATGTCTTTGACCCATTTGCCTTTCAGAAATGTAATATATTATTTATATTTAAGACTAAATAAAACCAAACAATAACCCAAAAATTCAAGCTGTCATCATTTACTCATGCTCATGCCATTCCAAACCTGCATGATTTTCTTTCTTCCGTGGAACATATAAGATTTTTGAGAAAATGTCCTAGTGTTTTATTCTTTTTCACCAAACAGTTTGGTTTCCAACATTCTTCAAAATATCTTCTTGATTCTGTGATGCACAGAAGTAAGTTATACTGGTTTGAAATGGCATGAAGGGGAGTAAACGAAAGGATTTTCTTTTTTGTGTGAACTATCCCTTTAAGTGCTTCTTTCTCTCTGCTGGGGTTATTATTTTGCTGGCTAAATGAGCTTTATTGTGTGCTATTTGAGCTTTATGGCTTTGTTGCACTGAGATCTCTATCAGACTGTAAACACTGAACTGAGTCTACTCAAATAATGTCAAATAAAGAAATGTCATGTGACAATACTTGACTGAAATTACAGCACACATTATTGTGATTTTTTTTTGCATCATCTCTGACTGTGTTGTATTGTATTGTAGATAGAGGTGTGGTGTTTTTCTTTGAATAGCTGTTCTGGGACTTCAGTCAATAAGAAACAGAGATCCTTTCCTGGGAAACCACATGTCTGATCGCTTTAAAATCTTGCATTCAGTTTCATTGAATTTGATGCGTGTCATTGTGTGGCGGTATAGTGTAAAGCTCTGTGGGGTTTTGTATTTCAGTGCATCTGAGGGAAATCACAGTCTTCACAAACACAAACCTGACTCTCCCTCCTTGAATACAGGAGGAGTGCTGCCAGGATATAAAGCTGAACATAACACAGACTCCAACTTTCACTCACTTCCACTGAGACTCAAAAGGCAGAAACAGAAACAGCTGTGAAACATGAAAGGTGAGAAAATAATCACTGCTTCTGTAAAGAAATATTTATTATGACAGTAAAAGTCTAACAGACAAACTTGACAGATCACTGCACGTGTTAAAATAAGTTGTTTGCTTTGTAATTCATAAAGTTTTGAATAATATTTATTTTGGTAATATTTTATTTTGTTATTTATTTTTATTTGTTTAAATACATTTTAATTATTACAATTAATTTATTATAAACTATTCTAAAACAAGTCCATCTGAAACTCACAGATGCTTCAGAAAGAGCAGATTATTAAATAAAAAAACAATTTTAACAAAAACCTCAAGAGATTTTCCAAAAATTATTTTTTTTACAGATTTTAAACAATAATTAACTTTAATACATTTTTATTTAATATTTAAAATGTTTACCATCTAATATTTTAATATATATATATATATATATATATATATATATACATATTTAAAAATATATATGATTGTAAGATAATAGAATGTTGCAAAAGGCACAGATGTTGAACTAACATTAATAAAATGTTGACATGAAAAACAAAATTGTGTGGCCATTTAACTTCTCTTTCTCTTGTAGTATTTCATCTCTATTTTAAATGATTGTAAACTAAATTTAAAAATGTCTATTATATTATATTATATTATATAATAGAGTGGTGGCACAAACACATCTAGCAAGAGTAAAGATCAAAATACACACACAAAATATCCTAACTATTTCATTTAACTTTTTTTTACAATTAATAATGGACAATTCCAAAAAAAATAAATAAAGTGTCATTGATGGAGTTTGGGTTCCTTGCCACTGTCACCTTTTGGCTTGCTCATGGGGACACATGATCATTTTGGCACTATTTTTGACTTGACTGCAGACACTATTGAATGAGAATCTAAACTGAGCTGAGCTGGATAATGACATCACTCTTTTCTCCAGAGCTGCTTTATAGATGAATGAAATTCACTCCATAATTGATGGACTTTACACAGTTATCGAACCAAACTGAAGTGATTTCAACTTAATAATGACTAGCCTATATTTACTTTTGTCTTTTTTTATGTCATTAAATTGGTTGGAGCATGAGAAACAAATGGCGAGAAAACAACGTTTCCGTGCACTATACTCCATGTCTTATGAAGGTTTTCCATAGTTTAATGTGAGGTAGGCTACAGATGAGTATTAAAGTCGTTAAATTCAAGTTCACCTAAACTCTTCCTGCCTGTCATCCTCCATTCAGCACTCTCAAACTGCATGTTGTGTTTGGTTATGACAGTCAAGACGATGACACACTCTCCAAGATGATTCAGTGTTCCTATTATTATATTTGATCTGTAGATAAAGATCAATGGTTTTGCATAAAAGGACTTTATCTTGCTGGAGTTTAGCGCTGTTTCTAAATCAGGTTACTTTCTACCGGGTGTCTGTTAGATCACAACACTGGAGTAGAGAGCACTATGAAATGTTCTTCATGCGCACAGTAACTGAAATTTGAAACTGTTAAAAGAAAGGGCTCAAACTGTTGCACAGATGTAACAGGCTACACTACGCTTCCCTTTGTCCTTTGAACTTTTCTATGCCGAGCGCTGTGCACTGTGACTCCATGTCGCTTCAAGTACATCATTCTGCGCAGGAGATGCGCATAAGCACTTTGTTCCGCTCTGTATTGGAGCCTTTCATATTATAATACTTTTGAGCAATAAAAGATTATTAATAGCTTTTCTTGTTTTGTCCTATCTAAAATATGTTGCTGCCTCATTACTGTGCTGTACATTTAAAATAAATGTCTTTTAATTTTATTGTATATAATTATAAATAGCCTATATTTACTTGTTTTTCATTAATGTATTTTACAAAAATACAAAGAGCAATGTGTAACATTTTACCAGATTGAATCCTACACTTATTCACTTTTATTTGTTCCCCACTAATGTTTTTTTCACTAAATGTTTAGATTTTATAAAATTATTGTGCACTCATGATTTTTCTAGAGTAACTTTTGCTGCTGAATTATCCAGTTTATAACCTAGTTTATAATAATATTTTGTCAAATATTATGATTATATATTTTTCTTTATAATGAAGTTGTCTATATTTAGTAGATTGTGTTTAACACACCAAAAAACTGTGTATCAGATCGGTATCAGTATTGGCCGATACTCAGAATTTTTGGTATCGGATCGGATCGGTTCTGAACAAATGGTATCCGTCCGTGCACCCCTATTTTTAACCAAACTTTGTACAAAGATGATTCTCAACTATGTTATGAAAATTATAACAGAATGATTTGATATACTCTTTTACTTTATGCAATAGGTGCGTACAATATCCATAAATTGGTATTCCCATTCTATACAATGTATTTATACATTGCATCTAATTTGCATATTAATGTGTTCTTGGGGCAAACCATAATGAAAAAAGAAGTGTAATAATGGGAGTAATAACTTTGCAACGATTTCAGAAGAATATCTAATATTTCATAGGAATATTGATCTATAATTTCTTTCCCTATTGACTTGCTGTGTCTCCCCAAAATGCTTGATTAACATGATGTTTGTCCTGGTGTCCTCTACAGAAGACGTATGAAAATTATGCCCTTTATATAATATAATATAATATAATATAATATAACAAAAAGATCATATAGTTCTATATAGTATAAAAGTTTAAATAAATACATTTGTTTATTTTATGTAACTAAACTAACACACAATATGCCAGTTACACTCATTTCATACTCCCATGTGATAATGGTGTGATTTGAGAAACATGAGTGATTTTTTATTTTTAATATTACGCAGATGATGCCTCTGAATTACATCACTGGGATGAACCATAATAAAAACCAAACCAAGAACACAAGAACAAATCAATATTGACCCAATAAAATACGGCTATTGATACACCTGATAATATCAGCCAATTCTTCACGCAAACAAAAACACATGTGCAACCAGAGCCAGCTGACCTACTGATACTCTTGTCCCTTTTTATCTGTTATCATCCAATTATAACACACAGACATTGAGGAGTTGGGTTCAGGGAGACATCTGAGAGTGCTTTGCACTTCCTTGGGATTTTACATCTGAGCAGCTATAGGATGTGTACACGGCACGCACACCCATACACACACACACACACACACACACACACACACACACACACACAGATGAACAATGATGATTGATAGCCATCAGGGTGGGACTGCCCTCTGTGCCTGACATCAAAGCTAATGAAATAAGCACCACCAATTAACACCACACAGTGAGTGAGAAGGACTTTTTCATAAATTCAAAGCCAGTTTGTGTGTTTAACAGGTGTTTTTGCCAGTGAGGAGAGTCAATGCTGTGAACTTAACAGAGGATATGAAGAAACCTACACGCCGCCAAAAACAACAAAGCTGGTTTGATTGGAGAAAAAGGTTACATTTGATCACAGAAAAGGTGAGTATTCAAAAGAACATGTGTTTACATGGAGAATGTTCCTTTGCAGGCTGGAAACAGCTGTTTAGTTTCTTAGCAAAAGCTTTCTCACAAAAATCACTGAAAGGGCAAGGATAAATTGTGTTGATGACAATGAAATAAACTGTACCTAATGTGGCGAGGGGGGCGTGGTTTAGCGGAGTCTGCAGCAGGAGAGAGCGGTCGGAGACGAGCGGTGAGTAAGTAGGTC